TTGGATAATCTCAGGACCGATACCTGATTATTTAATAACAAATAAATCGAGCAATTACTTGTCTTCAAATCTCTCATGTTTGTTCATTCGAGAATCAATTAACGAAACTCTTTTAAAATTCTGGGAGTTAGAAGAATATCCAGCAGAGAGATCGGTTAAATTGTCCGTAGAAGAGCAACGATGCGAAGAACACTTTATAAACACGATGAGTCGTGATGTGTCGGGACGGTTTGTTGTCAGACTACCTTTCCGTGACAATAAGAAGCAGTTAGGCGATTCGAGAGAGATAGCTTTACGAAGACTGAGTTACTTAGAACGAAAATTCAAAACTAAGCAAGAATTTTATAATCAATATTCGAGTTTTATGCGAGAGTACATCAAATTAAATCATATGTCGATCGTGAACAGCGAATCTACCATAATGAATCCTACTTATCTACCGCATCACGGCGTGATGCACGAATCTAGTCTTACAACGAAGTTACGCGTAGTGTTCGATGGGTCGGTCAGAACTACGGCGGGAATCTCACTAAACGATACTTTAATGATTGGAGCGCGATTACAAGATAATTTAATTGATATCATGTTACGATTTAGATTGCATGCCATTGCAATCACAGCCGATTTGAAAAAGATGTATAGACAAATTTTGGTTCACGAAGCCGATAGAGATTATCAAAGGATTCTGTGGCGGTCGTCGGTGGGCGAACCTATACGAGAATTTCGATTGAACACCGTGACATACGGATTATCGTGTGCTCCGTTTTTGGCCGTGCGTTGCGTGAGACATTTGGCAAGTAACGCGGACGATCGATTGACGCAAGCGTCTCAAGTCTTACTCAATGATTTATACGTGGATGATATATTAACCGGTGTTAGTTCAATTGACGAGGCAACCGATTTGATTAAGCAATTAAAGGAATTGTTAAATAATGGAGGATTTGAACCACATAAGTGGCGATCAAATTATAAGGAAATTTTACATGAATTACACTCTAGTGAACAGATTGACGAATCGTTGACTGTCGCGAGCGATGTAAATGAGACACATATAAAAACATTGGGTTTGACTTGGCATCCCGAGCGAGACGTGTTTGAGTTTTCTGTTAATTCCATAACAAGGTCGAGTAAAACGAAAAGAGAGGTTCTATCTGCAATATCGCGGTTGTTCGATCCGTTGGGATTGATAAGCCCTATTCTAATT